AGAATCGGTAAACAGAACGTAAGTAGAGGCATTATCTCTATTTTTCTTCATATTGTGAGGTTCCAAAAACGGGTCGAAATTTAAATTTATAGTTACCAAATTTATTATAAAATTTATTAAGTCGAGAAAATTTTCATTGTTAAATCAGACCAAAGGTCGTGTAAGTTGTGCAGGATATATGAGACAGAGACGAAAGAAAAAAACTATTAATGTCAAACAAATGCAATGTGAAGACGAATGATGTAATAGATCATAAGGGAATGTCGACCAAAAGAAGTAGAACTTTAACAGAATGCTCGTATACCAATGGTCAGAATTTAGAAAATCAGGAAATCAGGTTGACAGTCAAAGGGACATCACATCAGGCTGTTGAAATTCTAAAACGTCAGAGGAAAGACAATAATGAAGTAAAATATGAGTGCAGGTTTCAAAGTTTCATGAACACTTCCTGGTCAGAGTCGACGGATAGTGTCAGGTAGATTCTTTGAAGTGAACCTTTCTTGCGGTCCAGGTGGGTCTTGTCTTTCACCTGGAGACAGGAGAGGGACCAATCAAAAAAGAGAAAAGGGACACAGAGCCAATTAAGAAGGTAGATGAAGAGGGAGAAACACATAAAAACTCTGAATTCCAAGGTCAAGATGCAGTTTTCTATAATGCCCAACCTGTAACCCATGTCACTTCAGACTTAGACTGTGTCACTGATGCCAACCGACGGAGTCTCTCCACCTGCCTTATGAACTGATCAACGCCACTGCCCTGGATCACCTTTGATCAATGATTGAGAAAACAACATTGACGCCCAGGACGTCTGAACAACTGATTGTTTTAAAGCAAACTATTTTGCTCATAGTGTAAGTTATTTTATTGTGAGATAGCCGTGGGTACAACTCCGTTTAGGATTGTTCGTACCACTTAATCGGCACAGATTATCCGAAATCTGTCTCCAAAGTTTCGGATCGAGAGATCCGATCCTATGTCAAGACTTGTTTGACCGGGAGGGCAGTAATATTAGGTCTAAAGAGGATTGAAGACGGTAAAGTCTCTATCCGAATTTGTCAGGTTCCCGACACCAGTTTATCAGTTATTTTACATGCGGATAAACACGCGTGGGGCAATCTTATTTAGATAATAATTGAGAGACATTTCTTTATAAAATAAACAAGAGTAAATTTAATTAAACGTAAACAAATAATGGGAATACAAATACATGATAAGGAGACTACCACTACTAATTATAGTCTATAAGTCGTGCGAGATAGGGACTTATATCTAACCGATACACGATTGAGAGAGAGAGCTCATAAAATCATTTACAAACATACAACCTGATCGTTGTCTTTACTCTTCGGCTCTGTATATGAAGTATTTGTTCACTCCTCGAATTCTCTGTCTTCTTTCCTCTGGAGAGATCAACTTAACTGGGTGTATTTCTAGACTCAATCCTTCGTATATTGTATGGCTCATAGTATAGGCGTTGGCCTTTAAGAGCAAATATGTATGGAGTCCTGACTCTTCTATGTCTGTCGATGAACTCCCCGAATTCTGATAAATTCCCGCTATATCTGACGATCGGTGACCAATCATCATGCAAGATTCTTCCGTGGGAACGGATGAAAAGGGGAATATGTGAGGGGTAAACATTTCCCATCAAAACGAGGTTTTTCGCAGATAAGGGAAAAACAGAGGATGTACTAACTTCCCTCGAAGGAAGTAACATCTGTTATCTATTTTTCCCACGTTTGAAAACGTTAATTTCTCACCAAAATGAAATAATATTTTATGACAGTATTAAACATTATTAATAAAATTACTGTTTTAGATCCAGGGGCCTTTCAGATCTCACATTATGTTAAAATAAATGGTTTTTGTTAGACACTTGTCATCTTTGTCTCCTCTGCCACCACCATATACGAAAGGACCCTAGACCATTACTGATGTGCCTAAAACTGGTTGCCCCTAAAAGTCGGCTTCTTACAATATTTGCTACTTGCTTTATATTATTTACTTAAAAATTAATTTATAAATCCAAACATTAAAACTTGATATTTAGCATTTTATATATCCTATATGTCTTTTTTCTTGGTATGAGTGAAGAATTGAATATTCACCCTCCTTTGGCCCACTCCTGTTGTCTGTGCCAAATATGGATGTTGTTGCAGGGGATGACCTATCCATTCGCAAGTTATAGGGAAAAGAAGTTGTGACACATTTTATGGTTGGAGAATTATGTAAATTGAAATTTTAATCCTCTCCTTTTGGCTTGCCTCTTCAGTTGATCATGCTACGTATAGAAAACAATGTTGCAAGGAGATTGAATCACTCTTCTTCAGTTTTGGGAAAAATATCTCCAACATTGTTTTCTATATGTAGCATGATCAACTGAAGGGGTGAGTGAAAGGGGATATAAGTTTCAATGTACAGACTTCTCCAACCCTAAAATGTATTGCAACTTCTTTATAAGTCAAGAATTAGTTCCTCTTGCAACATTGTTTTCTATATCTGGCATGAATGATAGAAAGGGCTGAAAGAGGGAGTTAGAATTCACTTTACAGAATTTTCTATTTGTACAAAGAATTTGGTTTTTTTGATGTTGCTTAGTATGCATTTCTGTGATGAAGAATACAATTTCATGATTCACGTAAGTTGTAGTTTACTTTTAACATGATGTTATGGAATCTCACAAAATTTTTTATTTCTGGAGTCAACTCTTCAGAAGTTAGAAAGCCTATATACAGTACCAAATTTATCAATTTTATTAAAATTCTTGTTTCTCATAATTAAAAAAATAAGTTTTTATTATGTTATTTTATTATTATTATTATTTCATATTTTTATATGTTTTATGCTTTTTTTATAACAATTAATTTTACAGTTTTTTTTTATTTTAAAAGTTCTGAGCTTATGGAAGACACCGTTGAAGATATTTTTGCAAAATTGAATAATTTTGAAAAAGAATCACATAAGTTACTCACAGATTTTACTTATAAACAAGATTCTATAGAATCACTGATTTTAGTTTCAGAGAAGATAGTGATATGTTTTAAAGATAAATTACTTAATGCATGGACAGTAAAGATTCTATATAAAGAACAGTTTGGACACGAAAAAATATGTTTCACTGTTGACTGGGATAATTATCCTTCTAATGAAAATATTGAAGATCTACTGCTTCTTGATCCTTTTGAAAAGAAATGTAAATAATCTTTTTTACTGAAATTAAAATTGTAATTGCAATTCTAATTCTGAATAACGTAATAATTTATATATTTTGATTAATATTCAATAAGTAAAAGTAAATTATACTACTTATGTTAATTGAAATTTTTATTTAATAGCTTTTCCACTTCATCATAGACCAATGCTTCTCAGTATTGTACATAGTGAAGATATTTCCACTAGTGAAACAACTTGTAGTTTGCAGAAACATCTATTTATTTCTTTATTTGGTAGTTCAACATTTTTGGCTTCTCAGGATGTTATTCTTTTGGGCTTACCTGATGGAAGAGTCGTGTGGAAAAACATTTGTTCAGTTTCAAATGAAGCTAAAGCACATCTTTTATGTAAATTAAATCAACCAATAATTGGATTATTTTGTACAAAGTTGCATTTACAAAAAGGTAGTGTAAAAATTATTTTCCTTTCTTTCTTAAACAAATCACAGTTTGTCTTCAGTTATTAAAATTAAGAGAAAGTGATTAAACCTTATGATTAATTTTTTTTGCTAAAAATACATATCATAACTTCAAATATGCTTATTAATTTAAAATAATTGGGCTGCAATTTGAAAAATTGTGGATCTATAAATTCCCACTGTCTTCCGTCTGCCCATCTATCTTAGAATGGAGTTAAATATATGAAAGCGCCAAGACCAGATATGGAAACTTTAGGGACAGGAAGCCCCGATTAACTATATATGAACGTCTGGTGCAAACTGGAAGTTGCATATACAGTGATACCTTGGTTTTCATCAATAATCTGTCTGAAAGCAATTGGTGAAACCGAGGCAATTATTTCCATATGAATCAATGTAAATCCAATTAATTCATTCTAGACACTCCAAAATACATACCAAAAACACATTTTATAGAGAACAAATATAGTGTTTAATACTAAAAACAATAAGAAATTAATATAAAATAAATACAAAAGACTAATGTAAAGAATAAATGAACATTTAACATGGCATAATTATATTAAACCAGTGTTTGTAAAAATAAAAAAAACTGTGAAAACTGCATAATATAACTCTAGCTCCAGTCTTTATTAATACGAGGTCTGTTCAAAAAATAAGCAGACTTTTTCAATTGGGCAAAAATGGAGTGTCCTAGAGTCGTGAAGTTGACAACAGTATGTAGGACTGCTGGCTCTGGAAACTTTCATTGGTCCCATGATGGAGCTAAAAGGAAATGAAAGCAATGGAATTGTTTGGCTAGATGCATTAGGCTTGGGGTAATGCTAACCAATGAGAAACAATGCCACACTAAGCAGGAAAATGCATGGGTCACCCTTTGTTTTCGCAAAATTAGCAGCAAGGTCATGTGAGCACACCTTCGAAATCCGAGGCAACCGACAAAAACCAAGACAAATATTTTGCTGAAAAAAATCAATGAAAACTGAGATATTACTGTATTTTAAATTAAATCAATTAAAATTGCATAAAATGGGTTTTTCCCATTACATAAATAAATTAATGGTATTTATAGATATGTTCAGTTGAATTGGGTAAAACCCATTTTCTGCAGTTGCGGGTGTTGACAGCATCATGCAAATGGAAATGAGCCTCATCTGTTTTATGGACAACCTTACTGCAGTCCAGATTAAGAACTGCAATACAAAGGTCTGTCTGGCATCTGACTCAAAAAGAAAAAGTTGAATTTGCAACATCTTGTAAAGGTAGAAGTGCATAATGTTCCACAAAATTTTGTGAACTATTGAGGAAGGTTTATCTAATGACTGTACAATGTAACAAACATTACTGGTTCCATGCACATTTGATATGCTGTCTTCAACCAATGCTGCAATATATCTTCTATCAACTCTTCATGAACAGGCTTTTGATTCATTCCATTTAATGAACCTGTTTCTTTGGATTCAAAATTCATTTGAAATGAAACTCATTTAATAAGTAAAGCACTCTTTGAGCTATGGTTTACAAAAAAGCTGGTTCAATCACTGTCACAACGCATCTCCATATATACCTGGAAGCATTACTACTACTAAAAATCTGAGGCAATAAATTTACCCAGCATTTGGCCAACATTGCTTGGCTAGACATGCAAACTTTTTTCTGCTTTGTTAATTGCTCAGTCAATAATATGCAAACAAAGAAAATTATAAAATCTTGTGTAGTCTCTGCATTGTTCAAACTGCAAAAAAATCACATGACAAGCTAGGACTGCAAGTATGCTATAAGATCCTCCAGAAACAACTATATAAATGAAACAGCTATATAGCAAATTGCTCAGAAATTGTGTTTGAACAAATTACTGTCAGAACCTTCCTTGGACACTATGAAGAAACTAGTTCTATTTCACCTGGATGCAGTAATGGCTCATTGCCAATGGCTACTGTCAGGGAAGATTGAATTTTGCTTCAGCTTGTCATGAAATACTGACCTGTTATATTTGTGGAAGTTGCAGAACTATGGAGTGAATGAATAGGCCAACCTGTAACTCAACAAGCTGTTAGCAACAGGTTAAAGTTCTTACATAATAAGGGTATACAAGAGTAAGTGAAAATCTATATTGGCATTAGTTCAGCAAAAGAAACAGTTTGGATGGGCTAGGACCAACTGTCTTGGACTAGAGCTTAATGGCTATCCTGTAATGCAAGATTTTACTTTATGATGTATAATGTATAATGCAAGATTTGTAATGATGTATAGAGATTTGCAAGATGTATGCAAGATTTGCATGATGTATAATGCAAGATTTTAATTTATGACTTATAACAGTGATAATGAAAAATCTGTGAAAAAAAGATAAGTATTTCAGTTTCCATAGGAGTGACTGATGATTCTCTTGATAGTAATGAAATGCCATTCTGGGTTAATATAATCAAGTATATTTTATATAAAATAATAGTATATTTTAAATTATTATTTAGAGGCAGGAGTTGGAGATGGGCTTTCTAAAATTCTATAAATCCAAGTCAGAGTCAAAGGCTTTGTCTACCAACTCTACATACAGCATTTAGTAATATGAAGTATATATATATATTAAAATGGACTTCTGCCATGGTCACTGACCAATCATGTTAGGCCATGGTATATGACAAATATTAAAATATATTCAAGCATTAATATTTTTACAAAAATATTTGAACAATGTAACATTCATTGCATTCATGATGCAATTTGATGTTAGAACTCTTGCATCAGACTGCTAAGCCAGCTGTACCTGGTGTCAGTTTATTATTACTGACTTCTTTTTTGTTAATTTTGGTTATTTTAGCTTATTGTTTTTATTTTCAATAAAAAATCTGTATCCTGTAAATAAAATGCTTGTTTGAACTTTATCCTGTACTTTTCTGTGACAATATACAGTATTAGTATATGATATTGAACTTTATAAATACAATCAGTCTAATTATTAACTCATTCATAGTTGTAGTAATGCTGCACTGAACTTTTTTACCATCACCAATTTACATACTAAACACAACAATTAACATCTAAATGCTAATTCCAGCACTGAATGAACAGAAAATTTTAATGCTCGAACGTTTTCGGCCGTCTTTTAGAGGCCCTCTTCAGGATGAAGAGGGCGTCTAAAAAAACAGTTCTATCATTTGAAAACTTCAAATACAGCCGTGTTCCAAATTTTTAAATATTTAAATGATGTATCGTTTAAATATTTACATACTGTTGTTTAATTCTTTGTGACTTCCTGCCCATGTAGATGTGCTTTTGGTGTAATAAGAGTTAGTTCTTTATTTTTTTAAGGATGTTGAACAAACATTTGGAGCTATTCCAGCAAGGAAAGCGTCAATGTGAAATTGTTTATTTGCTCAGTGTTCCCAAAATGACAGTCTCAGATGCGGTTCAGCAATTCAAGGAGCTTGGCCATGATGGTGACCATCCCGGACGTGTAAGAAAGCTCACCATCAACACATCTAGTAACCACAAGATCATCAAAAAGTGAGTTGACTGAAATGCGAAGACCTCCTTGAGAAAAATTGCTCGTGAGATCAGAATCAATTGCAAATTGGTGTGGTTAATGGTGAAAAAGGAACTCAGACTCAAGCCCTACAAGTTCCAAAAGGTTCAGCTTCTCATCAATGAAAACAAATGCATGCGACTCCAAAGATGCCGTCAATTCAAGCATCGGGCCACAGGTCAACAATGGGAGCACATTCTCTTCACAGACAAGAAGCTTTTCTCCGTACAACAGGTGCACAACCATCAAAATGACAGGAACTGGTCCGAGAGGCTCCCTGATGCTCAAACATCACCAAAATCCAATGTTTGGGCCAGAATTTGTGCAAGCGGCAAGACACCCCTTGTTTTCGTCGATCAAGGGGCCAAAATCAATCTAGACATGTACCGCCGTGACATTTTTGAGGAGGCCATGGTACTTCCGTGGGCTCAGCAACATTTTGGATGTTTCAGCAGAACTCAGTGCCGGCACACAGGACAAAGAAGACTCAGGAGTGGTGCAAGGCTCATTTTCCTGATTTCATCTCGTCTGCAGAATGGCCACCGTACTCACCAGATCTGAACCCGATGGACTGCAGTGTATGGTTCATTTTGGAGGCTAGGGCCTGCGCCAAACACCACAAAAATTGCTCAAAATGGCATTCTTTTGCCTTGATGCAGAGCCCAAACAGTTGTCCCACTCCCAGCAATCCGGCTGGGAGTGTGACAACTGTTTGGGGCTCTACATCAAGGCAAAAGAAGGCCACTTTGAAACTGGCTGAATATCTGATTAATACGTAAAATATTGTCAATGCTATCTGCTGTTGTTTTGCTAATTTTCATTTCTTTAATAAATTTACGATGCAAAAAAACTTGTACGGGTTAATTATTGTCACCCTGTAATTATGGATATTTTTATATATCACTCATCACAGCAGAAATTGGTTGTATCTAATATCAAAAAACCACAACATCCAAAAACTGGCAAATAAACACTAAAATTTACTTATACTAACATTTTTATTTATTTTTCTTGGGTGTTATGGTTTTTGTGATCTTTTCTATATAGAAGCTATTTTTAATAATATATATTCATAATACAAATGTTATATCTTATTCCTGTCAAGAAATAAATTGCTCATTCTGTAAGGTTGAATTAAAATCTGAATGCCATTGAATTACAATCAAATTAATTTATTTACAATTTACTATTAATAAGAAGTTACACATAATAATTGTTTTATATTACAGATAAATATTTTGTTTGATAAAATGAAAGTTGTTTAAATTTTTATAGACATGATACAAAATTGAATTTAAAAACAAACATACTTATGTATATAAAGAAATTTGATCTGTTTCTCTCTGTTGTTAAAGAAAAATTTATTAAAATATGTTAGTTATATGAACCTCTAGATGGTTTGAAATATAAATATACCAAACACATATCTTTGTTGTTTCAATACAAAATATTAATTTATGTTTTAATTTAATTTTTAAAACTGATAAAATGTTATTTAAAATATATAAAGATTTCTAATGACTAATCTTATTCATCAGTTCCTTTCAAAAATTAGTAATTATATGAAAATTGTTATTTTTTTTATGTTTAAATCTATTATTAAAATATAATTATAATGTTTAAAAATAAGCATTAATGCCTTTATAATATATATATATATATATATATATATATATATATTATAATTGCATTAAGATAATAAAATTTTTGTAATAAATTTGAAGATATGTAACACAGAAAAGAATTAATTATTGATTTAACTGATTTTATTTAAAAGATATTGTACAGTCCATTAAAGGACTGTACAATATCTTTAATTAAGTTTAAATAATTAATGTGATTTATTTTCTGTTGATTATCTTTATTTTTAATGCAACTTTCTTTATTTCTAAAACTAATTTTTTTTTATTTCTTATTTAAATATATAATATTTATGTTATCAAAAATTTATTTTATTTTAACTTCAGTATTTGATCAATTCTTATTTATTTATATTAATTAAAATTTTGCTTTAAAAGTATTTAATTGTTTAAATCATTTAAATATCTATAAATTAATAATTTTATTTCAATTTAAAAATAATAAAAATGCCTTTATAATTAATATAACATTTATGAATTTATATTTTTTTTAAATTGTGTTTTTTTTTCAAAATTAAATTTCATTGATATATAAACAAATATATTTAATATTTTTTAATAAATATACATCGTTTTTATTTTAATTCCAATTAAATATCATTAAAATTGAATCAAATAATCATTTATGTGTTTAATAATTGCTATATAGGACCATGTTGTTTGGCATGAAGCTACAACATTATATGTTGTAGCTTCATGCCAAACAGCATGGCCCTATATAGCAATTATTAAACATATAATGTTGTAGCTTCAAATACGTAAATATACATAAATATATGTACGTAAATATGAACATAAATTCTGGCAATAGATTAAAGGACACATAAACATGATTAATGCTACCATTCTCCAACTTTCACTTCATCCGTCCCACCCCACAAAAAAGTAAAGTTTAATGAGTTTTTAGTTAACAGCTTCGGTGCCCCGAGATCTGGGGTCTTGGATCTCTCTCATGTGCTTANGTCCATTCGTACGTTGGTGGTGGCGGAGGAGACAAAGATGACAAGTATTTTACAGTGAAAATCGTTTATTAGAACAGGAAGATGCTTACACATTTGAGATGGTTGGAAATGGCTTATCTACAGTATTTTCTCCCGGCACTGAGGAGTGGTATATCGCTGGTCTTACGATAGTGCAAGCTGATCAGTCGTAGCCCCAATGCGGATGAGATGGGTTCACTTGGTCACAGAAGCGATGGTAGGTGACAGAGCTGCAACGACTGGTGCAGTCCGTGAGGCACAACACAAATTTTGGCGGGCATGACTTCAGGTTTAATTCAGATGAAGATGACACAGATTAATCGCCATAGAATTTTTAGGAAAACTGCATTTTGACCTTGGGATTCGGGGTTTTTATAGTATTTCTTCCTTGAATCTCACCTTACGATTAGTCCTGTGTCCCATTCCTCACTTCCCGATTGTTTTCTTCTTTGTCTCCAGGTGAAAACTGAAACCAGATCAGGTCACGAGAAAGGTTTGTTGTGAGGCATTTATTTGACATCCGTTCATCGACTCTGATCAGAGATTGTTGATAAACCTATAAACCTTTCGCTCATAATTTAGCCTATTGTTTCTGCTATCTGTCATTTTAGAACTTTAATGATTGTACGCGATGTTTTTATACATGTCAAATTGTTCCCCTTTTCCAAAAATTTAACCTAGATTGACTGTTTATGACCGCTTCTGTCAGAGTTTCATCTTCCCCACAGACATTCCACCTGATCCACCTGATCCATTACGTCATATGTTTTCGTGTCACATTTGTTTTGACAACTACAGTAAAGTTTTTTCCTTACTTTTCCCTGAACTTTGGTCTGACTTAATAATAGTGTTTTCGCTTTTAACATGTGGATATTAAATTATATTTGGTTGATGCAAAAGTTTGTCCCATTGTTTTTGAAAAGAATCAAAGAAAACCCATTTTACGAATAAAATTACAAAAATACTAACGGCTAGAACGGATTAATTGTATTTGCATTAATTTCTATGGGAAAAATTGCTTCGGTTAATGAACGGATTTGTGGAACGGATTACGTTCATTAACCAGGGTTCCACTGTATATATATTAATATATCTGTAAATTTAGATATGAAACAATAAACATTTGAATATTAGATTTAAAAAATCATTGTTTTTAGATATATGAATAAGCCATAGGAATGTTATATATATTAAAAAATATGATGTATCATAAGGAAACATATCTTTCATAATAATATTTCCAATACTATAATTTTAAATGTTTTTTCTTAGGCTTTATTTAGAAGATTGGTTTCTACAAAGAAAGGAAAACAAGAATTTACAGAAATACAAAAAGGACGATTACAGGTATTTTAAGTCAATATGATTTGATTTTTTTTATATTTAAGAATTAAAACTGAATTTTACTGTTTTTTTGCTAATTATAAATATCAAACAAATAACTTTAAGCATTAGTCTTTCTTGCAAATAAAAATGCATATATGCATTTTTATAAATCTGTTCTTGAGCTACAAAGTACAGCTCTCCCTTGATAGTCCAACAGGTATGGGACCAAAGGGGTGTTGGATTACCAAAAGTGTCCGGATTACTGAAAATAATTACATATTTGCATTGTTTTGCTAGCATAGCTTACAATATTCCCTACTTCAACTGTTGGAACAGAACTGCTCACAGAAAACACACGAAATGTGTGTCGTTGTGTAAGAATTGGATGGGGATATTACGTCGCGACATGCTTCTGTGCAAGCAGACACGTAACGGAGACGGGCACTTTGACGGGAAGTGTGTCGGACTACTGAGCATGTCGGATTAAAAAACGTCGGACTATCAAGGGAGAGCTGTATTAAAGATATTTAATATGTAATAAATAGAAAAATTGTTTTTAAAATAATGAATATATTAAATTAGTTATATCTAAACCATTTAATATTTAAAGGCTAACTTATTGAAAAGTTAATATTTCACAATATATACCCAAAATATCATTGTATTGAGTGAAAACATTTTCTTTCAAGAGGCTTCAAAAATAGTAATATTATATAGAAAGAAAAGTAAACAGATTTTTTAATATCATTATTTTTGTTTCTTAATTTTAATTCACTTTTTCTTCTGGAAATTAATATCTGGCTTCAGTTCTTGAGGATATTTTTTTAAATTTAATTAAACACAGTAAATTTTGTCTTGGAAGAAGAGAATTGGCCCTGAGTATGAAGTCCAGGTAGCATACATTTTGTCTTGTTTTGGTAATCCAAAAATGTTTTGTATATCTATGCTTCTGAATAATTTATAATTTTTCATAATTAATTTGTTTTAATCATTTTATATGATTAAAACAATTTTTATTTATATTTTATTTATATGATTATATTTACATATTTAAAAACTTTGTGTTTTACATGTCTAGTAAAATAATTTTTGTATAATAAGAAATTTTGATGTTATATATCATCTGATAAACGCTGAAGATCTGGAAGGTGATACTGTTTGTCAAGGTAAGGATTAATTAAAAAGTTTTACTTTTATATAACTCATTCTTTGATCCATAGTTACACATCATCAAGTTAGTGGATGACTTTGGTATACTGTATTGCGCAACTTTATCACCTGCTGCTGAGATGTATAAGATTGATGACCACTCGCTTTATACCGACACTCCTACATTCTCCGCTACAATCCTTATCTAGAAGCTGATTGATTACTTCATCGCGGAAACCAACCTCGGTTTAACGGATGCATACGTCGACAGACAAGATACTTCAATATATTGTCATTGTATGGAATATTAGTATAGTCAAATATTACAAAAAAAAAAAAAACATAAGATAAGAGGTTCCAGGATATAAATTGTTTTTAATATAGATGTATTTTAGTCTACATTCTGCTAAATTTTTAACATCCTTTGAAGAATTTGAGTTAAGCTACATATGCAATAACTAAATACAATCAAACCTTTGAACTATAGCCACCGACAGGAACATAAAAATGGCCATTGTTTGAAGGTTATGCATTTTTGTTCCAAAAAATAAAAAATAAAAGTTCTTGAAAAATAGCTACTGTGTAGGCCGTTATTGAAGTTTCGGCTGTACAGTATTATAGTCAGATTTGATTATGTAATGGAATTGTTGAATACATTAATCAAATTGAAAATTCTTAATTTTCTAGATAACATTTAAGTTATCCGTGCGCATCGTAAAAAGAATGGTTATATTATTTATTTTAAAATAAATTTTTCATTGAATATCAAAGCTTACGTGGTTTGTAAGAAAATAAATTTAGATTTAACAAAGAATGATTGATGTTTTAAGTTATTTCGTGAGAAAGAAGCGGTTTCATATTTTAATCTGACAGTCTTTTTTTTTATATGTTGTGACTTGATTCAATCTATTAACAGTTTTCTCGTTTTATGTACTATATACATATAACGTGGATTAAAAGTATACATATAAGATTAAATGCATATTAGTATATTAGTCAATTTTGAGTTTTAAAGTAGATTTATTGAATTAGAAAATGATTTTTAAAATATAATTCCTTTCTTAATTATTTTATATAGAAATTTGAAAAAAATAGTTTATGTTCTAAGCAGAACTGTTATCCAAGATATACAATTCTTGTGTTTTTGACTGAGTTTTGTATACTGCTTTTTCGTGAAAATTTAAAATTTGGAGGATTTATTATTAGTAAGAACAATCTTTTAAAATGCTGACTTTTCTATGCATAATTTTATATTTTATTCTTTGCTATTTATTTTTAATACATAGTTTTTACGTATTAAACACGCAGTTTTCAAAAATAACTTTCTCCTCTACATAATTTAGAATTTAGAAAGGGCTGACACTCGGTAAGTCTTTTCTGCGTCAGAAAAATTTGTTAAAATGTAATAAATGTCTTAAGTTTCTTTGGCAGTTTTTGTGTCATAGAATAGAAATCATGATAAAAATTAAATATATGCTAAAGTTTACCTTATATTATTTTCAATTTTTAGATAGGTTAACTTATCTAGCTTATACTTTCTGCCCAAGTTTACTAGTACAACTCTGGTTCTAACAAACTTAATAGTATATTAAAACACTTTTAAGGAAATAATACTTGATTTAGCAGGTGGTAAATTCGTTTTCTGATATAAATTGTGTAACATAAATTATGACTCATTGTTGTCTCCTCAAGTAACATACAATACTGTACAGTCTGTTTCCGTCTACAAGTATAACAGGTGGTGATTTCTTATTCTATTTTATGATTTAAACAATGTTCAGATTGTTCATACCAAAATTGATTAAACTTTTTTTTTTTTAGTAGAAATGCAATCTATTGTATATCGGTTGTTTTCTCGAAAAACTCATTTATTATTTTTTCAAAGTGTATTAAGAGCCAACTTAAACAAACTGTTTGTTTTAGGAAACGAAAATTTTTACTTTTAGTAGAAACCTAGCAACAAATATAATTAGACTCATAAAATATTGAAGTTTGAAGGAGTAGAATAAAAATCAAATAAACATATTCCTTGCCGATACTGAAGCTTGGACTGTTTTATATTCATTAAAAATTTACATTGAAGGAATGCATTTTCTAAATAATCGTGCGAAGAAAATACGCTAAGTTGCATCAAATCTTACAAGAATTCAAGAAATATAGGTAACATTATTTCTTTTTTTTCCCCTTAATTGAAGATGTATTGCCTGAAAGAGATATACTGAAGCTAAGCGATAACAATAGCTGAATAAGCAAAAATCCACACACCTCTAACATAAAACTGCAATTTCTTTTGACGTCTTCATAGTCTTGATATTTATCAGAATCCATTATTTTTATTGATAGTCGCTATATTTTGTAATAGAATGGCAACAAAAAATTTATAAATGATTCAAGTAATTGTTTTTCAATTTTTTAGCACAAATTTATATATATATTAATGAATAAAAACTTTAGACTTTAACATAATATTTTTTTTATTTATTCAGAAACAATATAGTCACTGTCGTGTATATACAGTAAGAACATTCAATAGAAACAATAAAATTTTCCATCTGGCTGCTTGTTCGTTGCAGTATGCTAATTATAAATTTTCTCATAGAAACTGAAGTCGTAAAAAAATAATATAAAAATTTATTCCCATATTTCTTTTTACGAAATAATTTTGCTAATGATGATCATGAAATTCGTTCGATGAATAAAAATGTATCTTGTTTGTATATCTTAATTGATTCGTTTGTTATACGAATCTATTAAGATATAATTTTCATAACTTTATTCTTTAATTTAATCTTTGATTGCAGTTTTCACGCTACATTAACGTTTAACATTCGTCTGGAAAGAAATGTCTGGAAATTTTATATTATAATTAATGAGAGTTGTTACGTAGATATTGATAGAAATGAGTTAAGGAAATAAAAGTTTTAGTCTGAAATTTAAATATTAGGTACGAATTGTGTTGTTACATTATATTTTACGCAATTGTTTTAAAATATGTTTAAAATTCTTTCTTAAATGTGGTTAATTAAGATGAAATTTTATATTTAAAAAACGAAAATTGTTTCAGAATGAATGAAAAATGCACGTAAATAGTGTCTTGATGTTAAAAATAGATTAGGGTCTTAATGTTAAAAATTTAAATGTTTGACAAAGAAATTTAGTTTTAAATGAAAATAAGAATTTATTGTTTTAATTGTAAACATATTTTTTTAATGGTTTTCTAAAATGGCAAAGATAGAATAGTATCTGTAACATTTAAATAGGAAACTTTGCAAAAAGAATTGTTTACAATGAATAATTCTTGGAATAATTTCGATTATTCTCCATGCTTTTATTACTTTTAAAATAAAGAGAATTTTTTAGAATTCTTTTGTAAAAGATGCCCAGCTTTTGTCTAAAGTAATTTTCCACGATATTTTTGTTGTTTCTAATTAAAATTATTTGTTTAATTTGAATACTTTAAACAACCATCAGTATAATTTAAAGTGGAGAAAGAATATTTCTTAAATTGCTTTTTTTCCTAGATGAATCTCAAATGCAGAAAACAAATACAGTACTTTGAAAATTATATTAATTATATATAATGTAATTTAGTCATTAATAATATTAAATAATAAATTGTATTACAGTAGAGCCTCGATTATCCGACTCAATTGGGGACTGGGGTTGGTCGGATAATTGAAAAGTCGGATAACCGAAAAGTATGAAAAAATCCATTACTAGTGTAATATATTATTATATCCCATGTAATTAGTATATTAGTATATCGCTATTAATCTACTTCGGGTTGAATTTTCATCTATATTAAGCCTAACAAAAATTTAAAAAAAAAAATAATCGTCGCTATTGTATCGTTAAAACTTAGAAAATTAAGC